AGAGGTTCCCTCGCTGGATGAAGTTGACCATGCCTGACCTAAAGAAACATCTGACCTGGAAAAGGTTCGACGACGATGATAAAGTGAAAGAGGAGATCATGACATGGTTCAAAGAACCGGCGGAAGAGATTTCTATGACTTAGGGATATACAGAGTAAGTAAAAAATCCCGGACCGGTGAAATATCTTGAAAACTAAGTATTTCAGAGAGAAACGTTTCCTACAAAAATTGTAAAGTTTTAAGTGATCTATTCACTGATCTGGTCAGTCTGACTTTGAGTGGCGCCAAGGTCAGGTCGAGGTCAACTTTGCTTTTTTAAGTAAAAACATATATTTTTTATTACGGAATTTTATTCTGCGTAAAGAAACAAACAACTTTTGTTTGAAGACATTTTTTATACGACCTCTATTTTCTAAGATATTTATGAAAACATCTACAAAATTATTGGTTTCAACAATTTTGTATTCGAATTCTATCAATTTTACCGCAAAATAACAAAAGATAAAAATTGTTTATTTTCTTCTCGTAGAGCTCTGAGAATTTTTTCAGAATTTTTAGTTAACTTTTTAGTACTTCAAGAAAATGCAAGAAAATGCAGTACTAAAAAGTTAATTAAAAAATTCTGAATAGATATTTCTTTCGAAAATGCTTAGTTCGAGATATTTCACCGGTCCGGGACTTTTTACTTACCCTGTAGAAACTGGCCCCCAGATTTAACAAATATTTGGTGGAGACTATATGGAAAAATAATGATATGTATATGTATCTAATTCTCAATGAAGGTTTTGTAAGTGAATATTTTTTCTATGTTTAAGGCTCCTGGCCCCTCGCATTATCTATCTCTTTTTAATGACTTCAAAAGCGAAAAAATGCATGCTAAAAATTCTTGGGAAATACGTTAAAATAAAAACATACATATATCTATAAAGTAACATTTGTAATCGATTAAACAAATTTGTAAAATATTCTGTGCACTCCCCTTTTACTCTAACAATCCATAATTTGTTATAAATCAACGTGACATACAATTCATCTTTTTAACCTATTTCTTCATCTATTTCTATTCAGGTTAATTTACAATAAATTATTGATTGTTAGAACAAAAAGGGAGTACACAGAATAGCTTACAAATTTGTTTAATCGATTGCAAGTGTATTTTATAGATATATATCTTTATTTAAACGTATTTTGTAAGAATTTTTAGCATGCATTTTCTCGTTTCTGACGTCATTAAAAAGAGATAGACAATGCGAAGGGTCAAGAACCTTAAGACCTTTGTATCTTTAGTTTTCGGATACGCTTCGTATTTTGCATCCCAGTACATTTAAAGCGTTTGGAAAGTGTCTTAACCTTCTAACCGTGTTCGTTTCAGATATACTTTGACCATGTACAGAGTCTAAATAGGCCCAATGATGAGAACTCACTATTTAATTGACATATATGTATTTTCTTATTTCTTTTATTTTAGCATTATATAAAGTAATTTAGTACAATATGTACTGACTTTTTCTAAAATAACTTGAAAAGTCGCGAAATATCACATTTGTATTTAAAATATTATAAAAACTGTGAACTTTGAAACTACTGTAGATCAAAAAAGACCCAGAGCATGGCTACAAGGTTAAGATGACCTAAACACATCTAGAATGTGATATCGCGATATCTATAGAATATCCATAAGATGTATTTCGGATATTTGTTCTACATGGGTTAATAAACTGAACTTATATAAATGTGATTGAGATGATTAATACGAGTTCAGAAACCGTGATTCACCGTCGATTCTTTTCGAATATCCCATGGTAATCACCTGCGTGACATGCCAATGTTTGACAACATTAAAGTCCGCGTTAAAAGTGCGACGGTCACACCATGAATCACGACGTCGTAAAGCGAAGAGTGTTACGTTTAAATATCCAGAGGAAAACACGCGCGAAACGCCGTACATCTGGCGTCCTAGATAGATTAAGAGCAACCTGTTGCTCATACGTACATCTACGTCCAACTGCACGCGCAGTGTATACGGTGAAAGAAAAGATGAATGTGTGTCACCGCACGAGATTTACTGCTATCAATTAAGAGTTGCCTCTAGCTCTAAATACACCGCTCACATTGAGAGAAAAAGTATAGTATTTGGCACTATAATGGCATAGTAAAAAGATTATAGTTAGGAATATCTTTTTTATAGTAAATATCACCATAATGTTTGTAATATTTACAATATAAGTATAGTATAACTGACTCATGTAAAACTTTTACCAAGAATTATAATTATTTTTAATAAAATTATAATTATTTGAAATAAAAAACATAGTAAGATAGCAAATATTAAATGGTAAGAGAAATTAGCTATTTTATATAGTCAATACAATTGGAATATTTGGAAAATATGGGTACATGTAAATATAATTCCAAAGCGTTATTATACACATAGAGTAATAAAATGGTGACTATAAATGTATGTTCATTCTGTTATATCTTTGTTTGCGTGTTTAGATGAACTATAAATATATGTTTGAGGCCAAAACGAACTATAAAATATAGTGAGATTATAGTTATTCCAACTATTTTTTTCTCTCAGTGCAGTTTCTCATTAATTTCAGAATACGTTGCAAATATATTAACGTTTTCGGATAACCGTGAATTTTTATGAAAGTTACGTTATACAGGTGTGCATTGTTGTGTGCTTGCACTGAGAGAAAAATGTATAGTATTTGGAACTATAATGACATAGTAAAAAGATTATAGTTAGAAATATCATTTTTATAGTATATGTCACCATAATGTTTGTAATATTTACAATATAAGCATAGTATGACTGACTCATGTAAAACTTTTTAATTATTTAATAATTATTAAATATAACTTTTTAATAATTATTTAAAGTAAAAAATATAGTATGGTAGCAAATATTGAATGATAAGAGAAATTAACTATTTTATGTAGTCAATACAACTGGAATATTTGGCAAATATAGGGAATATAGGTACATGTAACTATATTCCCAAAACGTGCTTTACTATACACATAGAGTAATAAGATGGTGACTATAAATCTGTGTTCATCTTCATGTTTAGATGAACTATAAATATATGTTTGAGGCCAAAACGAACTACAAAATATAGTGAGATTTTAGTTATTCCAACTATTTTTTCTCTCAGTGTGTACATTAGGTAAAATTGAACAAAAAATCTTTTATCATTTTGCATGTAGATTTTTAGTGAAAGAAAATTGTAACAATAATGCAACAATGCACAAAATTTTAATTAATATCTAAAAATCTATGTGGTCATTTGCAAAGTGATAGAGAACCTTTTTGTTCAGTTTGACCTAATGTATAAATGTACAATGATAGACGGCGTCATTACAGCTCATCTATCATATCGCGCGTGATCATTTACCAATCTTCTTTAATTAATATCTCGACTATTATTGCGAATATCGCAGAACGGTATAGGACATTTATGTTCACCTCAATTCTACGTTCCCACTAAAATTGCGAAGGGGAATCTGGGGCATCCTATATAACCCATTAATTGCCAAATTTCTTTTTCTACGATCTACATTTTTTCTGACATGGAATCTAAAAGAAGAAAGATAGGTAAAAAAACCCACCACAGCAAAAGAAATTCCCAAATTAGGATCAGTTAATGGGTTAAGGGGAAATTAAGAGGAAGTTAAATTAAGAAAAAACATATTAAGAGAAGAGATATTAAGGACTAATTGAATTTTAAAAACTAATAATTAGAGGGATTAGGAGTTAGGAAAACAATGACGGGTTTTCCTTCGTAAAACGATTGTAGAGGTCAACGAGTGATCGTAAGCAAGATTTATTTCTCGCACATTTTATACGTACACGCTCAAGATAGACAAAAGCGACGTACGATGCGTCAGAAATGCGCGACATATAATGCATAGCGTCTCGCTCTTATATTCTCCGACATTCGTCTAAAACCTTAGATTTTATCATCTCTGCAGCCTGCTCTGCAGCATGTAAATATCGTTGTTCGTAATGCATCGCGTGGCGTATCTGAACTTCCACGCGGAGAATTCAAAGATGAAACCCGAGAGAGCGTCTCTCATTAATACTATTAATGAATTTCAAGGAGGAAAAGTATCGTCTCTGTCGCGAGAAATAAAATAGTAGCCCTTCTCGATGAAATTAAAACAATTAGAGGTAAGAAGAATTAAAAATTAGAGAGAACCGTTCTGAAATTAAAAATTAGAAGAATTACAGATAAGAATGATTAAATTGGAAAAATTGAAATTAGAGAAATTGGAACTAGAAATTGAAAGAATTGGAAATCAGAATTAGAAAGAAGAAGAAGAGAAATATTTTTCGAAATCATTTCCTTGAAACGCACTCGGCATAAGGTACGGGAAACGAAAACAAAATGCAGCGCAGTTGGTTCAGCGCAGTATGAGGCCCAAATGAGCAACATATGGATGTAAATAGCTGCTTTATTTTTTTTCCTTTCTCGTCGGTCGCCCTCGTCATTTCCCGAGCGCGGCAATATAACGAAAGAAGTCCATACCGTGACGATGCAGACCGTCTGGGCTCGGGTTTCTCTCCGTATGCATCCGTACAAAGACTTTCAGACAGACTGCTGAAACAGCAGCCAAGGATCTCGTTGAAGGTCTTCCAGCTAAAGATTTCGGTTTCACAGCCTAGATTTTCTGCTGTTCTAAATCGATAAGTGACCTTGGACATCCATTGTTCCTTAATCATTTACCTGTCAAGAAATATTTATCGCGCAAAATAACACCTCATGCTGTTGCACGAGTTTAAAGATGATTACATAATCAGAAATGTATAAATGCATAACGCGCAAAATACTCCTTAGGCACATTCTACAATAAGCTAGTCATAAGTCATAGACAAGTTGACCAACCACAGTCGATTATTTTTGAAAATAGTTGACTGTGATTGGTCAATTTGCTTGCGACTTATGACTAACAGCTTATTGAATGTGCTTTATGAATACGATATACGGCGCAACTTAAACGATAAACGATTTATTTGCAAAACTGCAGATACACACAGATATTTTTTTTTTAAATATATATTCACTTCACAAAAAATTTATTTTTCATACTCTTGTATGAATCACAGTAGAGGATATATATAAATTAGGATACTCGCCGCAGATATTTTGACTGATGACATCGGAAACGAGAAAATGCATGTTCAAAATTCTTACGTAGCATTTTGAAATAAAAAGATACATTGAGAGAGAAAGAGAAAGAGAGAAAGAGAGGTACTTGAAAATTATCCTCCTTCTTTGAATCTCAAAATAAATAGCCATTAAATTAAGAGGAGGTTCTGATTTAAATAGCCGAAGAATAATAAGTTTTTACGAACTTCTTTTCAAAGAAACGAATAGAGATATTAATATAGAATTTTAACGATGCTGTTAGTATTTATTATTATGGACAACATTACAACTTGTATAACATGAAATACAGAGAATGGGCAAGAAAAATTAAAAACTATTCAATTTACTGGAAGATGAACTTTTTTGTTATATGCAGAAAATTGAAATTGAAACAAAATGGCAGCGCTTCGAAGTTACTTCGAAGTAATTTTTTCTTTCTCTTTCTTTTTTAATGTCCCGGAAAAATACTAATTTTGGAAATTTTCCAAAGGATTTAGATTCATCCTTCAGAAAATTTAATATAGTTTATAAATTTTCATGTCTTATTTGTTTTAGATTATTAAAGAAAATATAATATTCTCCACTAATTAGAGACATCTAATAGTGACATCGTGTCCAACATAAGAACCTGAACGAAATGTTAATTTAAAAAATAGCTTTTTTATACTTGAAACAATGTTAAATAGTATGATCAAAACTGTATCGATATCTTCATTCATTTCTTTGAAAAAAATTCGTAAGAAATTTCAAATTTTCGACTATTTAAATTAGAACCTGCTCTTAACGTGATGCAGTTTTCTTTTGTACTTAAGATTTTGTCACATTAATTTGACGGTTATTTATTGATTTTTAAGAGAAAAAAATAATTTTCGGGGCATTTTACAAATATGCCAAGTGATCTCAAGTGTTCTTTAATTTAAATATCTTTTTATTTGAAAATGGGACACAAGAATTTACAAAAGAAAAGAACGTATCATTTATTATCTTCCAAAGTCACGATGCAATATGATCGCGGTGAGTACCCAAAAGCCTTAACATAAGGTGACCAGATTTTCATCCTAAAAGCCAGGACACTTCATAAATCTGTGTAGCAGATGATAAAAGAGATCACTGAAGATTATATATATATATATATATATTTATTTATTTATTTATTAACAGTATTTTATAGATATAGAAAAATAATTTAACAACAATGAAGGCCTGCTGCACACAGTAAAAATAAAAGTTATCGCTAAGATAACATTTTTGTTATTCTTACTTAAAATTAAGAAAAAAAGCAAAGCTACTATGAATTTTCTTGAGATTTATTTTTATCAGAGCAATTAAAAAAACTCTTTAGACCAGTATAAGCCGGAACAATGGCTGAATCCGGAACAAACCAGCGTCCCGGACAGCATCCGTGTAATAAAGTGCAATAAACTGGGACTGCCTCGAAGGAAAACGGAACGTCTGGTCATCTTACTTAACAACAAAGTGAGATAAAAACGCCTTCGTTAACAACCAGTCGGTGTCTTTGAACGCCTCGCGTGAAAAACGTATACATAGAACCGAACAGTAACAACGGTAACGGTAACGTCGATGAGTAACTCTCTGTCGAGACGTGTAAGACCGTCGCGGAGTTGAATTAAATTGCCATCGACTGTGACTGGTCGATAGTAGGCCACGGCACAATTTCAATCGGTTCTAACGACTTAACGATCTGAACGATTGTCGAATCGTTTATCGGCTCGGTGCAACGTACGAGCGTGTTTATGTGTACACTATCCGCACGCACACGTGCTCTCTCTCTCTCTCTCTCTCTCTCTCTCTCTCTCTCTCTGTCTCTCTCTCTCATTCTCTCGGTATTGACGACCGTATGCGCCCATGCAACGTAATGGTAACATGCGTCACATGTGCACGCGAGTCCTCCGTACGAGGTAGTTAAAAGACGATCGGGCGCGACGGTTATGCAGTTATGTCATGCATAGCGCGCACATGGCCGCGCGAATGCGCGCAAGCCCGCGGTTGCACGCGAGACGCATTATATTACAATCGCGATAAATCGCGCTCAAACACGCTCGCGTATTGCCGATCGGCATTTCGGCCGGTGTCGTAACTGCGCGCTAACTTACTTCTAACGTGGTAATGCGCAACGCGAAGCCACACATACGGCGTCTACACTCGGCCACCAAACGGTTTACACACATTTTTTCGAGTGAAGTTGCAGCCCTCCCGGGCTGCGTTCCAAAACTCTACTCAGTCAACCTTATAAAACTCGAAACGGGTGGGAGACAGAGCAGGCCAGAGTGAGCTATCAGCTCCAGGAGATCTTGAACAGGAAAAAATAGGGGAGATCGGGGCTAGTTGACTACTGGCAAAATCGATTATTTCTACTGTTCTTCAATAGATTTCAGAGTCAAGCAAGCAGGAATTTTAAAGCCATCTTTGACATATGTTTAAAAATCTTGCTTGCTTAATTCTGTTAACTTGTTAGAAAATAATAGAAATAATCGATTTTTCCAACTTACTAATCTGTTCTTTTTCACCGCGCTCTTTCTGCATTAGCTGACATTAGTTCTTCTTTTTCTTCAAACAAATCTCAACTATATATCTGATTTTTTTAGAATATACTAGTTCAGCGAAAAAGAGCAGGTCTATGTTTTCTGCACACAGTACGTGGCAATGTTTATTTCGTGACAAGAAAATGTGAACGAAATGTATGAATTCTTATCTATAATAATACTTGTATGATTTTTCCGATTACCAGTAAAAAAGATAAATTGTTCGAATTGAAAATCACGTGGACAATGTAGTGTTCAAATCTTTGGACACGGCAGTTTAAAGAACATTTTCATATAATACCAAATTGTTTTTCATTATTGAAAAATAAACAAGGTTAAATCTTTATTTAATTAGTGAATATAAGCCACAATTTTCTGTAAAATAAGTTGCTTAAATAAAAAATTACTATAAAAAAGTTGCTATAAAAAATTACTTGATGTTGGTTAGAATAATGTATATTTATAGTAGTATACACTTTTCATAAATTCGCGCTGTTACACATTGAAATTTATTCCAACCCACCTTGGAAGCAGAGTTCATAGAAATAACTCCGAATACAGCTACTCCGATTTTCTGAACGATTAGGCTCCTTCTACAGAGTATGTTACACCATCTTGGAACGACATTGAGTTAACTTCGCTACTCAAAGTTCTAAAAGTTAGTAATCACAATCGAGACACTGCTATCGTCGCTGGTAATCGGTTACGTCAGCAGTTGCCACTTATAGACGATATAAGTACTGATTCTTTATTATACTTTTATCTCTGATAGATAAAAATATAATAAAGATATTTACGTTTTTTCTGAATCTTCTGTTACGTTTGTGACGGATTACATATCTCATGTATTATCACTTCGGCACCTGTCACAATCGATTCTTGCGCAACGCGTTAGAAAAAGGTCTCTTCTTGTTAACCGAACTGTCTGAACTGATACACACTTACGGCACTATAATCGACACTGATGCAATAAATTAGAATGAGACAAATATATTTAGTGTCACTCTAACTTATTACACCAGTTCAGGCAGTTCAGAAAAAGAACAGACTTTATCTTTTAATGATAACCTGAAGCGTTGCAATTTTAAACAGAAAAAAAAGAATGTTTGTAAACCGACTAGTAACCGAGTGTATACTAAATGTCTTGTTAGTCCAAGTAGAATTCAAGAAAAAATTATTTTACACGTTGACTGCCACGTTAATTTCCATGAACTGTTTCAAAGCTTAATTGAAATTCAAATAACCAAGATCGCGATAACTTTAAGGGTGAAAGACATTAAAGCTCCTGAGATGTTCGATCATATAGATCAAATAGCTGTCGAGATGTCCGATAAATCGGGATCGGATTCAATTACGCACGACGTTCTTCACGAGATTCGTCGTTTTGTGTCTCTCAGCGCTGCTTCAACAGCTCCTGTTCCACGTCCAAAGGCAGGATTTTATAACGGGCAGGATTTTGTAGCTGTTGCCGGTTATCAAGGTCCTCCGCCAATTGTTGTAGCAACTCTTTGAACACGTAATTGTCCAGATTCTTGGCGATGTAAAAGAGAAACAACCAGTCGCCGAAATAATACTCGTGCGTGACCCTGAGCACATTCCACGGATTGAATTTCCCAGGACAGGCCATGGAAAATACGAATTTGTTGAATGACGTGCTCCTGCAAGCGAAAAACCACGGATAAGAGTCGCGCCACGACGTCACCGGCAAAATCTGCCGTCGCCTGTACAGGCTCTCTTATCGCATTCACGTCAGTCTCCCTGTCTAACTTGTGTTATTCATGCGCTATTTTTAAGTGTTCCGTGTGTATTGTCACATTTGATGTTTTTACCAGCGAGACTTGCGGACCTGTTATGAGATATGCTTATTACGAAGGATTACGATAGCAACGTTACGTTATTATATAACAATAACGTAATAAAGCAGCATATTGCGACGAATTAGTCATCATGAATGATTTACGCTGAATTTATACATCTCTAACACAGAATTTTCATCGTCAAGGAAAGCGAAAGATCGAATTAAATTTATTCATTGACTCACTCTCCAAATTTCTTGAAGTGAAATCTCACCCAAAGTGGGTGAAAAGTGGCAATATTTTCACTCGAAGTGATAGTGAAAATACTGCCATTCAAAATCGCAAAAGTTTCAGCTCAAGCTGAGAGTAAATTCTGACTCCACATCAGCGAATGTTTCTATCGAGTAAAGTGAATAGTGTAAAATATTCAATTATTAACATCCTCTTTGTCATTGATATTCTAAGAAAACCTGCGATTTTTCTTGAGATCAGTGGCGGTTGTTCACAACTTTAGTTGTAAAGTCATCTTTTGGAATCATAAAATACGAGCTAGAAGTTTAACTAAAATACTAAAAAAAGATCAGATTTTTCTTGAATGTCAATAATTGATAGAGATGATAATAATTAGATTTATCCAATGTTCCTGTGCGTGACGATGGAGTATATCAAATTCACTTTCAAGTGAGAATATTTACTCCATGATTTAAAGTGGAGAATTATCTCTGTTTGAGTGGGAAATCACTCAAATTCGAGTAACTCACTGCATTTTTCGAGTGAAACTTCGTCCCAAGAAATTCAGAGAGCAATAACAAGAACAAATATAAGTCTTTGCGCGTGACGACTATCTACGATCTACGACTTTACGTGACAAAGTAACCGCGATAAAACCACGAAAGAAAAGAAATCGCATTTACGATGGAGTAAATAGTGCGTAATGTATCAGAGTATTAAGCCCGTCAAACACGTATTCTGAGAAAGAGAGAGAAAGAGAAAGAGAGAGAAAAGAAACGCAAAGGATCGTGACGTGAATTGACAAAATCGTCAAACGCGTAAAAATATAATGTCGCGCTCTCTGACGGCGAGAAAATATACGGGAACTAAGTTTAGCAACCTCGCGTGAAGGATCATGGTCAGCACTCTCCAAACCAAACCCAAACCGGTTATCACTGCTAGCACGACAAACCAGAACCAGAGGACCGTGTAGATCTTCTCGTTAACGATGTTCAGTGCCATCACGCAAAGCGCGTCATGCTTTTGTATGCTGCCAGAAGGGCCGAACTTGTGGAAGATACACTTGGTTACCTGAAAACATGATTACATATTCATCGACACAATACAACACGCAGCAACACTACGCAGCTGGTGGTTCTCGATAGTCTAGGTGAAGAGAGACTGACAGTAATAAAAAATGAACTTAGAGATTAAGATCGATGACTGAAAGTTTATTTTTTTTATGAGAATATCATAAAATTTTATTAAAGTGAATGTTTTTTAGGTTCTATGTGCTAAATAAACCGAATTTTTGTTTTAATTGAATATTCTCGATTGAAATGTTAAACTTACTAGGATTCAGAACGTATTTTGAATTAATATGATGCTTATGATAAACTTATGAGAGAGATTTGCGAATATATAAACTTATGAAATAAATATATGAAGTAACTGTGAAAAATTATTTGAATGCAATATGCATTTTTCTGTAAATACCTACAAAAAATATTATTTTAGTGCTAAAAAAGTGATCACTCAATTTATACTTTCCTTCTTTTAATTTCTCTGATCTTAAAATACATTTATCATCAATAAAAAAAAAGAAAACCCTATAATCACATACTTAAAAGAATTCTTTTTACAAGAATATCTAAAAAGTTAACAAAAGTCCGCTAAACGTTAGAGAAGACGGGGAATTTGTTAGGGTGCGATACTATCAATTTACACATTAACGTTTGCAGAGAAAAATCTCGGGCTTTTTAAAACCCGTTACGAAACTCGAAAGTTTAAAAGGAAAATAATTAGAATAATAAGGGGATGATAATTAGCATTGATCACTGCACATAGAAAAATATCATTCTACTGCTAAGAAAAACTATTCAATTTACTTTCCTTCTCTTAAGTAATGGCTATTTTCAACAAAGAATATTTTCCTGATAATAATCTTAATTTATTTTTTTTATGAGAATATCATAAAATTTTATTAAAGTGAATGTTTTTTAGGTTCTATGTGCTAAATAAACCGAATTTTTGTTTTAATTGAATATTCTCGATTGAAATGTTAAACTTACTAGGATTCAGAACGTATTTTGAATTAATATGATGCTTATGATAAACTTATGAGAGAGATTTGCGAATATATAAACTTATGAAATAAATATATGAAGTAACTGTGAAAAATTATTTGAATGCAATATGCATTTTTCTGTAAATACCTACAAAAAATATTATTTTAGTGCTAAAAAAGTGATCACTCAATTTATACTTTCCTTCTTTTAATTTCTCTGATCTTAAAATACATTTATCATCAATAAAAAAAAAGAAAACCCTATAATCACATACTTAAAAGAATTCTTTTTACAAGAATATCTAAAATTTTATAAAAAAAAAAGTTAGTTCAATCCCAAGTAGTAAGCAAACCAAATTTTTGTTTTAATTTAATATTCTTGATTAAAATGTTAAACTTATACTAGGATTGAGAGTGTATTTTGAGTAAATTTAATGTGGTAAACTTATGGTAAATTTGCTGATATAAACTTATGAAATAAGTAACATTTACTCGAATGCAGCATACATTTTTCTATGTGCAGCCGATTTCTCATGCCATTATGATTTTCCGTTCTGTTTGTGGGAAAGTTCTGGCTTATAACGCGCGCGGAACATGAGGGTGGCGACACTAACGAGACTGTACCTTCGGGAACACGATATCGAGCGGATCCGTCTCATCCTTAAGTACCGGCTCGGCGACTGACTGACCGAGTCCGAGGAAAGCACCGCCGAGGAACCAGTCGGTCAAGTAAATTTGCATGATCACGTTCGCGAAATTCATGACCTCGCAAAAAGTCAGACCATATGCCCACGGTCGATTCAGGTGCAGGCGGTTCAGGAAGCCGATACGGATCTGCTGTATCTTCTCGTCGCGTTGATTCTTCGAAGGCACTTTGACATTGTCCGATACCTGAATCTCCGTCTCGTTCAATGCTATGGATGCCATATGCAGGCCTGACACCAGCATTTTTAAGCGGCCGCCTGAAATGAAGCGATCGTGACATAACTGCGACGCCAGCAATGCATGTAGTATTTCAACGCGATAAAAAACGCCGCTAGAATTCCAGATGTCCCGCGAGCGGATCTCCGGATGTTCGTTAACCCTATGCACTCATAACTATTTGAACTCAGTGGTGTATCAGTCAACTTTTTTACCTGTTCTTTGTGCAGAACATAAGGAAAAAATGGATGCAACTTTTAGATTCTGCCAGACTTTGTCACAAATTTTTATGCTCTCTAAATTTCTCGCGGAGTGAAATTTTACTCATAAAGTATAGTGATCGCCGAATCACTCGAGAGATCTTTCATTCACACAGAGTGAATCCTTCGTTTTGAATTGTCAAGCGAATACTTCTACTAAAAATTGAAAAGTGAATCTGATATACACGGAGAAAATGTTGCAGTAAGGTTACAATAAAATTTTCGTTATCTCAGACCATACAAAATTATAATCGATTTTACTGTACATTTTATTTTAAAATGTTATATTGCACGTTTGACTCTTTACTGCAAAATTATTACAATTGTTTGAATGTTGTTTATGTCATATATTCGGTAGATCAGCAAATTTACTATTTCTATGATAGTTTATACTATAATTTCGGTATAATTCAGCTTTACAAAAGACATTGTAAAAAGAAATATGATTTTAACGTAGTTTTTACTACAATATTTTTGCTATGTACTTTACTGTATGACAGGAATATGTTTACGATCGATTAAAACATTTCCTATGAAGTCAAAATCCACTTTAAGCATCATTGAAACATTCACTCTTGCGATTTCGAAAGGCAGTATTTTTACCATCGCTTCGAGTGAAAATACTATCACTTCTCATTCGTTTCGAGTGAGATTCTATTTCAAAAGAAATTTAAAAAATATATATCTTTCAATTTTGTATGATCTTCTAAAAATAAATATTAGGTACTTGCAAAAGTTCGTATGATATTAAAGCTATTTTTATTTATTAATAACAATGGGGCGATATATAACATTTTAATTTAAGTATTGGCCGTTGCTACCAATAACCTTTTATCTTCTTTCGGATAATTTGATCTCGCCCCGATAAAATAACTCATCGTTTGAGACAATCCATTTATCGATCCATTATCGATATTATCCATTTTTACACTTTCTCAGCATTTCAGAACCGTATATCAGATAGACTGTATTGTATTAAATTGAATAGATAAAAATCAGATAGGGCGATGTCTGGAGAATGCACTGGATGCAAAGGAGTTCCTAATCTAACTCGAATAACGTCTCTTTAATCGCAACATGCAACCTAGCGTTGTTGTCAAGCAGAATGACTTTGCATCGATTCGCAAATGTTTGAGGGCGTTTTTCCTTCATGGCTTAATTCAAACGCCGTAATTGTTGACTGTTGTGATCCCCAATATGATTCGGTGCTAATAACTCATAATAAAGCATTCCTTCTTGATTCCACTACATTGAGGGAAAAATTACCTCAAAATCAACAAATATTTCTTTGATGAGTGCCATTAACATATTTATTTAAATCTAAGCTTTCTTTATTTAAACCAAATATTGTTTACTTAAACCAGATAATTTTTTTCCCTCAATGTAAATATACAGGAAAACCTTATAATCGTGGATATTGCGTTTCGTTGTGGATGTCGATGGTTGGTCAGGATCAACCCATTTTGTGTTTAAGGTTGTCAAAATAGATCGACTTTTCATCACCCATAGCTATTCGCCACAAAAAAACTCTTCCTTTTTTGCCTGACAAGCAATGAGAGAAAAATGGTAAGCCAGTTTGCAATTGCGTTTGCAGAGAGTTCATAGGAAAGCCATCTTCCTTCTGTCTGGATCTTTCCCATTACTTTCAAATGACGGGATATTGTTGATTTATTAACTCCAAGCTGCCTTATAAGCTCTTTTAGTAATTAGGCTGAGTTTTCTTTGAACTTTATTAATAACAATGGGACGATATATAAAATTTTAATCTAAGTATTGGCCGTTGCTACCAATAACCTTTTATCATCTTTCGGATAATAGTTTGATCTCGCCCCGATAAAATAATTCATCGTTTGAGGCACTCCATTTATCGACCCATTTTTGCACTTCTCATTTCAGAACCGTATATCAGATAAACTGTATTTTAACTGAGTTTTCTCTGAGCAATGCTTTCGATTCGTTGTTCTCCATCTCGTTTGGACGACCAGAACGTGATTTATCGTTGACATCGAAATCACCATTTTTAAACCTTTTAAACTACTTTTCACAAACAGCAGCGGATACAATATTCTCTTCATAGGTCTCACAAATTAGTCTTTCAGTTGTTGCAGTAGTTTTACCTTGATTAAGGTGATATAACATATAATGGCGAAGAGAAATTTTATCTGTTTCCATCTTCAATCATGTTAAATATAACGTTTCGTTCGAAACTATTGAATTGTTAACCACCAATATTCTGATAGAATATGGTCAACAGTTAAAAAGCAACTTGAGAGAAAACAATTACTAAGTCGCTACTAAGTGGCTACGGCCATCTATGTGTGACTTTACGAACTTTTGCAAGTACCTTTGCAAGTACCTTTGCAAGTATAGTAATAGCTAAGCGATTTCTCATATATATATCTGAACTACATATAGTTCCTTGAAAATAAATAATTAGAGCGCTTAACTAACGTTTCTTTTTGAACTTTGAGAGGTCTTCTAATTATTGAAAGCAGATATATAAGTGCAAAAGGTTAAAAGGATCGCGCTAATCCTCCGACGAGTTCTTTGAGCAATCGTTGCCGCCCGCTAATATTACAATATCGCTTTTGTAAATAATGCAATTCAATTCATCGCGTATAGGCGATAGATGTCGGAAATGTTACATGATTAGATTACGAGCGGAAAGACTGATGATGATTAGTTGGTAGCTCGAGATAATAAACTTGGACTCTTGTGCGTCGTGACAGTTGAAATACGAGAGAAAGAAACCAAAGACAGACGCGTATATGAAAAATGGGGAAAAAAATCTCGTGTAACAGAAAACCAGGCGAGAACCCCATAACGGGAAACGATATTTCTGTTATCGCGGTCAAGAAGATTCGTCTGAACACTCAGAATGTTAAAACTCGACCGAAATAATTAAGGACAATTGACTGAATAGAAATCTCTCTTACAGAAATCTTTTTGGTTTTGCAACTAAAGGTCTGCTTCATCTTAGATGCATTGAAACATTATTTCTTTTTTCTTCAACGTTCGGTTATATACTTATTTCACTCTGGCAAAAAATGTAACCTAATTGAACTAAAAAGAAAGACCTTACAGAAAAATTAATATAAATAATCGACCAAGCAAATTTCCTAAAGAGACTTATTTTTAAACAATAAATCTTAAATGTATAAATTTCAAAAGGAACATATCGGTTTGATACATTGATTTAAATTTTTCCACTCTTTCTGAATGATTATATCGTGTATTTGACATTATTGATTCGAATGCATAACTGTTTATTATTCTTTTTATCGCATTTCGCCGAAATTAGTTGAAATTTGGGGCCGAGACGTTCGAGCATATTTTACTTATCGATTGTCTGAAATATAAGCTCACATTATAATTGATTTAGTTTAAATTTGCTTAGATATTACGCCAGTATTCGGCTTTTATTTGCTTGATTGATGCTTTACATTTATTCTTCGTGATTGTATATCAATCGTGCCATTTCTTCCAATCAATCAGATCTTATCTTTTCGTTTAGTTCTCAGATAACAGAAAGTCAGTTACATGAAGCGATTTTTTTCCGCGTAGAAATGATATGATTATTCGACCTTCCATTCTTCGCCAGAAGTAGTGCGGCATGTAGAAGAGGAGCGCTTGGAAGAACAGGACGAACTGCACCCATTGGTAGTAAGCGTGGTGTATGACAGGATCGTCCTTGCCGACCGGTCCAACGCCAGGATGCGCCAATTCACCTTGTTGCACCGCGGTACCGTTCAGGTGCTTCACCTGAGGAGCAAATTAACTGACAATCGCCGCGATCTCCCGCAAAGCAATCGCCTCTCTCCTTTTTCTCTCTCCCTTCCTCTCTCTCTCGGATTTTTCTTCCACGCAAAACACTTTTATAGTTTGATTGTTTTTATAGTTTGTAGCAATTTCTAGCTGGATAGCTTTAACTTTATCTATTATCTTTCAACGATGTATTAGCGTGTCGCAAAAAAATAATACGCGCGACAGATAATAAAAATTTTTATCCAACAACGAAGTCCTTATATATAATTCTATTACGAAGTAATTATTTACGAATAATTCTATAACGAAGTCCTTATATATATTACTATTTAGTAATTGCATATGATAATTCCGATTTGGCTTTGATTGACTCTATTCCCCTCTTACTTAAAATCGTTTCTCACAAAGCCTTTAAGTATATTCATATTTCGATAATATAGGTATTTGTCGGGAAAGAAAGTCGCAATGTGTGACAGAAGCGTGAGTGTGAAAAATAATGAATCAAGCATATTCAAGAAGCAAATGATTTCTCGACTATAATTCTCGTCGGACATAAAACTTTTGACTTACCACAGTATAGGTGGACGTGAAAAAGCAAAAGGTCTCGATAACTTTGATTGGTACACCAGTATCGGCGATACACCTTTTTATAATAACAAAAATTATTATTATCTTTTACATTTATTCATTACACAAATATAGACAATTCCGCACGATGTACCTGATGTGCTCCCCGATAAATTGCCTGGAACATACCAAAATCGATGCGACGAGGAGTAATAAGAACGTAACTCTATAGTGTAGTCTGAAAACTGGTCAATCGTACGTTCCTTTCTCTTATCTAATATCAAATGTATAATTCTTACGAGATAAGAGTGCGTGTGTTATATAAAAACGGGAAATCGGTCAATGGAAGACGCGATTAAACGAATCTTTCCATTCGCAAAGATAATTAAACAACATGACGACTTGACTAGGCTAATTCTAAGTTCCTTCTGGATGCTCTCGTGCTAAAAATATCATTCTACCCTTCTTCGCCATATAATGAGCAATAAAGATAAAATAATGCTTTCAACATGAAAATATCCAAAATAAACTTAGTCTTAAAATCACGCGAAAACGCGACACACAAAAAACACTATACCAATAATATTTTTCATTGAAATGTTGCATATATAACTGGTGGTTCAGTTATAAATACAGCACTGCAATTAAGTAAAATCTCGCTGAAAAGATCAGTTAATAAATCAATTAATATTATTCGATTATTCCCATCATTAACGCACTTTGTGAATACAATGTTATTGCAAACCAGACGCATGGAAGTCATTAATTTTATCGTCACGAGCGGAAAAAGTTGAACTTACTATATGGTGACTTGTGCATTATAGATTTTGCAGCAAAATCTTATTTACTCTGATCAAAATAAGACAGAGCAGTAAAGGGTGGGAGTGTTTTTATTAAAAATTAGTAAATACGCGTTGATTATCGCATTGAGAAGAATCCCTCATTATCAAAACAAAAGCACAATTAACGTTGTAAATTACTTTTCATTTGTCATTTTAACAAAGATATTTTGCCTGAGATACAAATCACATTTGTCCTCGCCTATTTAGGTTAGGTTAGTTGTGTCTTCATTACAGAAGTGTTACTTACAGTAAATTGAAAATAACTTTGAAAGTAATTGAAAGTTAAATCGTTCGTTCCCTTACGGGGAAGGGGGGATCATTTATATGAGATGTATATCCCATATATATAAACCATTTTTTGCGGCTACTGGTATTTTATTTTGTTAAATTAGCAAACATTTACAAATAATTAGCAAATAATTCTTTTCTCTCAGTACAATGAAACAGTTCTTTTACTGATTCAGACTGATCAGACATCTTTTTACTGATTCACTTTAACCCTTTAAGGCCCACAAGGTCCGGTAATATTTTTTTTTTCACAACAAAACAATCTTAGAAGACGCATTTAATGATAAATTTTGTAGTCTGAATAAAATTGACCGTTGAGAAGTACGATTTTCTGAATGTACACACAATTATATACAGCTGATTGTAAATCAGCTATGCATAATGTATAGCTGATGTAAATCGTTTTATACATTTTTTATTGAATGAAGTTGCAACGTTTCAAATTGTCAGAATTGAAAGTCGACATGTATGTATACGCAGAAATCGGTCATGACAAAAATCGAACTGACAATACAAAGTGTGATATTTGAAAGAAAAAATTGATTTTAAATTAAAAGAACACATTGTTCTAAGAAGTGATTTTTATATATTTATAACCGATTACTACGCATGTCAACAGTGGCTTTCAATTCGGATAACTTGAAACGCTGCAACATCACTAGGTAAAAACTAGGCAATCTGTTTACCAATCGAGTATACATTCATGTTTGCAGTGTGCCCCAGCTACAAAATTTAATAAATCTTATAACCACATAAAAGTATTAAGCTTGCGCTTTAAAATGGCATCGATAAGCCGTTGAAAGAATAAAATTTGCTTACTTTTTTTCGTGAAAAACTTTAAATACTTTCAATAATTCTGCTCGGCACACGATGGATATTGGTTTCATCAGCGGGAAAATATTTCACGGATAGGACAAAGAATATAAATTTTCTTGACCATAATTTATAGTAATTATTTCTTTATATAATTATAGTTACAAATACCAAACATTTTTATCTCAGTGTTTAAGTAAGAAAATATATTTTTTCCTAAAACACCACTACAATTGCTTTTCATGAAAACAATTGTTTATGCTATTTAAACAAAAGAATTTAGATCTAAGTGAATATATTATTAATATTCACACAATAAATATCTCTTATTTTTCAGATATAACTCTATCTCTAGGATGGATCGATAGTGTTGTATCGACAGAATCATTATTTCCCTGATATAAAAAATTGGGGAGGGATCTGAAGTGAATGTACATAATTATGTATACTGGACCTTAAAGAGTTAAGAAAGTAGAAGATCAGAAAATTCGTTACCGAGATTGTCAATAGCCACCCATTCCTGATTGACTTTGAATTTAACGTGGTCCTTGAGGACCGAGAAGGCAGCGAAAACGGTAGCGGGCGCCGTCATGCCGGTTAGCTTTTCGCGACTCTGCCGGAAGTGAGATTACTCTCTTTAATTAATCCGTCCGCGACAACTCGCGAGCTCGTGAGTCACGTTTTAACGAGCCGCGTCGTTGGTGAACGCCACTCTTGCTGTTCGCACATTCGGCGAACTTCGCGAACTTCCTTCTCCCGGCTCCCGACAAACGACAAGTTGGAACTTGTGGACGCTCTAGACTGAGTACTGATCAAGTATATACTGAAAACGTGGCGGCAGTGAATCTCGGGCTCGTTATCGCAAACGACGAGCGCGCTACTCGCATCGCACATCGTACAAAACAGCATATCATCGAAAAAGACACTTATTATTGTCAAGACCTTTCATATACTCCGATAACAGTCAGATAAGAACCGTGGAATTAGTTCTCGTGAAACGTACTCCTCTTGCGATACGAGTAATCGGTATCGTAACGCACTGATTCACTATTTTAAATCGTTCCATCTCAGAAACTATAGATGATCGTTGACCTATGACGCAACTTTTATGACTTCTTACGACAAATAGATCATTCCTGTTTCTTTCTCTCTCTCTCTCTCTCTCTCCCCCTCCCTCTCTCCGTCTCCCTCTCTCCCCCCTCTCTCTCTCTCTCTCCTGAGAGAGAAAAAGATTGTGACATAATTGAAGAAGAAACTTTTATAAAAATATAAATGATAAAGAAGATCGGTCAAATAAGAGCGCGCTGAAACGCTGGTTTTGGAACTAATCTTCAATGTTAATATTTCTTAATAATATAAATAAATTAAATAAAATCAACTTTAAAGTTCAAACGTTTGAACGATAAAGAAATTTATACAAGCTCTAAGACCAGTGTTTTTGGTTCTTATTTGTCTGATTTTTTATCTTTATTTATGTAGCAATTAACCGCGCGCAACGCAATAAATGGACTAGTGCTGACGACATCTGCCATCATGTATTTGTAGATTAGAGCTCAAACTGAACAAAATATTTATTCGATAAGTATAATAATATATGTACTTGTACTAATATATATATTTTTATATTGAGAAAGAAATCTCCTTCACTGAGAGAAAAATGTTTGATATTTGTAACTATAATCATATAGAAAAATAATTACTTACAAATTATAATTAAAAAATAATTTTTTAATCAATTATATTATACTACTGATATCTTCTTTAAATCCAATTTGATTCCAATCATATTTTTTGGGTTGTTCCAACACAAAGATAATAGTAGTAACATGCATATAACATTACTACTAATAATTATAGCACAATTGACTAACAAATTTTTCTTGACCATAATTTTTAATTAGTCATTATTTTTTTATATGATTATAGTTACAAATACCAAATATTTTTATCTCAGTGTTTAAATAAGAAAATATATTTTTTCCTAAAACACCACTACGATTGTTTTTCATGAAAACAATTGTTTATGCTATTTAAACAAAAGAATTTAGATCTAAGTGAATATATTATTAATATTCACACAATAAATATTTCTTATTTTTCAGGTATATTTTTTCTCAGTGTACATAAATATATTTTTTACACATATACATTTCAATACAAAAAAGTACATTTTAAATTCATATCAAATTAATAGAGAGAAGGAGAAAGAAAGAGAAAGAGACTTTCTAATCTTTCTTATTCTAAAACAATTGAAAAGGAAAGGAACTAAAGAAACAAGCAAATAGAAGCCAAGCAATTTTCTTTCGCGGTAATCTATCTGAATTAAAAAACATATTTAAAAAAATAAAGAATTAGACCGTGTGAGCAACACAAAAGATCTATTGATTTCGTCAAAGTACGGGAAAGAGACTGTTCGCATTCGTTCTGCGGATATAATATCGTCTAGCCGTCGCGATGGCTGTCCGATGCGTCATCCTACTCGCGAATTTATGTATCAATTATACGGCTCAGTGTCCTATACGCATCTCCTACGCGATGCGTGCTCATTCAAAGGGCATTCACACACCACGTCCAATAAATTAGAAAGTTGCGGCACAATAACGCGCTCGTTACACGCAGTGTGACTCTACGCGTGCCGGCCTCTATTTATCCCGAAGGAGAAACGATTTGTCTATGACGAATACTACTCCCAGCACTTACGTGCCGAAACGAACGGAGCGGTAATCTTGATGTTAACGCCTAGGTCAGAATAATAAAGCGACAGGGTTCGCGTTTGATCTCGCGACACATGTGTTACCCGACCGGCCAGACGAGCGACATTCTCGAAAGCGAACAGGTCCGCTCGTCTTTCTAATAACCAAGGAACAAGAGGAAATTTCAAAAGATTTTCCGAACGAGATAGTGCTGGGAAACACGCGAAGTATTTCGGGTTGATATTTGATGAACGGAATAAATTAGATTAGGTTTATATACTGAAGAAAATTACTTGCAAATTTATTTATAGAATATCAAGTTTATTTCTTATTTATGCAGTAAACTTTATTTAAAATAAAATTTAAATTTTTTAAATAAAGTTTCTGCAAGGAGACTAACATTTATTTCTGAAATTCCCACAAATTCCCACAAATAAATTTTCAAGTGATTTTTTTCAGGGTAAAATAGATTTTTACACTCAGAAAAAAATGCTTGAAAATTTATTTGTGAGATATAAAACTTATTTCTGTGAAATAAAGTTTATTTCTGTGAATAAATTTTATATCTCACACGAATAAATTTCAAATATTTCTTTTTTCAGTTGTATAAACGCTTTTTTATACCTTGCCAATCATGGGTAAACCAAAAAGTTTTGTTCAATTTTTTATTCAAATTTTACTGAATTACATTTAAAGGAACTAAATTGCTCGTCAATCAAATAATCACTATCATTATTTCGTGAAAGTGAGAATAAAAACCGAACTTTCTGACTGATTCAATAATTATGAAATTTAGTTGAAGGACTTTTTTAAATTTTTCAAAATAGAATTTGAGGAAAGGCATGTTACAAGTACATGAGAAATGACTCGGCCAGCCATCCAGTAGATTGGTGCCTCGAGTAAATCGTCCGTTACTGCGGGACGAATTAACATACTCTCATACGCGGCGGTGAAACGTGTGGCGAGTAAACAACGATGATCTAAATTTAGAGAGACAAAGAGAAGCAGTGCTCAGGGAATAATGGAATAGATTAATCTCGAAGGCTAATTTATATGCTTGCTCTCGACATGTTTACCCACTCGATTCAAGTATCGAGAAAGAGACATTGCATTCCCGCAAAAACCAGTTCTGTCTACGTGCGTAAATAATTATTCTTCAATTATTCAACTATTAAAGCAGAAATTCAACTTCGTGAATGTCTAGCTACGAAGTAGAGGTATTGTGTCTAACATCGCTATTAGCTAACAATGTAATGGCTAGATAAATAAGTAATTCACACTTAGACAAAATAAATTTCAGTTATGAGAGATGAAAGATCATAAGTAATATAAGTAACAAAAAATATAAAATAAATAAATAAATAAAAATCTAAATTAATTGCCGAGCAGTAATGTAACGTTATTTCTGATATTTTTATGAAATTACTTTAATTCTCAATTTTAATTCGCTGTCTAAATTTTAAAATACTAATATACTAAATTATATATTTTAAAATATAGACAATACACTAAATTATATATTTTAAAATATAGACAATACCATCCTCTCTATCATATTTGTAAAGTTGAATAATAACTAGTTAATCAGTTAAAAGTTAAGTTCAAAAGTTTATAACTTTTAATTTAATTTAATTTATTTTTTAAACGGGACAATTTTTTACTTTTAAACTAATTATTTGAAAATATATTATATATAACTTTAATTTATTAACTTTTTTGTCAGTTATAATAATTCATCAATATTAAAATCGTTGCGGACTACTTACAATGTAAAATAAGAAAAATTATAAATAATGCCAGCGGGATCTTTTTCGTCTCTCTAAGTGTCAATATTCTTGTTTTCTATAGAATCCTGAACATAAAATAGTCAGTATTTTCTTATAATAGACACACACACACCCTTTACTTTTCCACTTTATTTCATATAAATTTAATCTACGATTAAAAAGTTGATTATGCAGAAACATATATGTATTGCTTTGAATAATTAACTTTTAATTTTAATCTTTAGGTTCAGTGTACATATTTCTGTATTGATTTCTTTGAGTTCTCTTCAAATTGAGTTCTTCCCAAATGTACTTTATATCAGCAAAATAATGGTTTCGTCGTTATAATACCATCGATCCATTCTGGATAGAGCTATATCCTTCGTTTCAACCCATAAAAACAGTGATTTTCCTGCTTAAGAAATCAATATAGCGATTGTATGCGCAGCAGAATTATTGTCGCTTAAAATTGTGTAAAGTTTTTTATGAAAAAAGTTATATTTTGTTTTGTCGATATTTTACCGATATTACCTTAAAATACAAAATTAACGCTTTTATGTTCATTGTTATGGTTGTAATACTTATTAAATTCTGTAGCTGGATTTCACGTGTAAACGAGTGTACATAATAATGTACACTTAGAAAATCGTTTTTCTCGACGATTAATTTTATTCAGATCACAAAACTTCCTCAAGAGCGTTTTCTAAGGCTATTTTATGCAGAAAAAAATGTTAATCGAACAACATCATTACTTGGAAAAAGGCTAATAAGCTAATTCAATTTTAACTTAACTTTTAATTGAGTTTGTTTTTATTTAACTTTTAGCTTAACAAAGTTAATTTCATAAGCTATTAATAGCCACTTAACTCTACGTATATAACATACAATAGCTAGACATAAAGGCTCATCACAATCCGATTCAGTACCGATTCCATATATCAGTGAATAATGAGCCAATAACGAGTTAATAATAGCAAACTGGAAGATGTAGTCTGGTCTGTATCATGTAATTAACTGCTAGCTTTTTTACTTAGATCGACTAGTTACATTTCTACTCGGGTATTGACGAATAATCCATGCGATGATGATGGCGATGATGACATCACGCCGCTCGGAATCGCGTTCGTCGTCAGTTAAAACATTAAAAGCGCGCTTATTTCGCTCAGTTCTCGGTAAAGCCGTCCGCCAGCTCCAATTGCAAATCCAACTGTTAAATGGCGTATCATAAGAATGATACGATATAATGTCTAGGATATAGTGCACGTGATCGTACAAAGGCACCGGCAATTCGAGTCGTATATGTTCGTCGTGCGCGTTACGTGTTGCTCATGTTCGTAAGGTGTCAGTTGCTAATCCTGCGACTTGCTCTCGGAAGTCTCAACATGGAATCTCTCTCTCTCTCTCTCTCTCTCTCTCTCTCTCTCTCTCTCTCTCTCTCTCT